CTAATCTATGTACAGGTTCTGTGAAATATCTGGAATGCTCAGCTTTAACTCAGCGTGGCCTTAAGACAGTGTTCGACGAAGCCATCCGTGCAGTCCTGTGCCCACCACCGGTCAAAAAGCCAAACCTGAAGTGCCGTCTCCTCTCAAGAGGCCGTCCATAAAGTGCAGTCTGCACTCGCCTGAGGAGAGGTTTCAGGAATAGTGGGGAGGGAGGATGTGTTAGGAGAAAGAGGGAAGACTCTATGAACCATACCCATACATCTCTCTTACTTACATATTGTAGTTATAATTAGATTTGCTTCACTGAGTCTGTTTTAGGATCCTAGAGTTTGTCTCAAGGACGTGGGGATGCTTTTCCTCGTTATGTCCCTTCACACTAAGTAATTCCTGCTGCCTTTTAATGTGTTTTTCATGTTTATGTAATGGTAAACCAAATGATCCTTTCTTTATTTCATCCATCAGAGCCTATATATTTTGTTTACACACTGCATTTTTTTTTTTTTACAGAAAATGAAAAGTTACCAAAAATGCAAACCTGCTTATAATAGCTTTTACTTATTCTGAGTCAAACTGCTTGATTTGTAGGAACGAGTCCACAGTTTAGAAGCTGCTGAATGCTTACTTAGATAGATAGATGTACTTTATTGAAATATGGGAATCACTTTTAGGATTTTATTAGTTTACTCATTTAGTGTACATATTGGGATCAGACATTTGGTACATAAATGTTACACTAGAAAAAGTCAGTTTTCACTGACTCACTGTCATCTGAGCACTCTAAATTACAAAACAGAATTTGGCTCAATGATTATTAATATGTGCTGCATTTACTATGCAGTCATTGTGAAAGACGTTTTTATTCCCACAGTATTGTATTAACAATATTCTCTGGAAATGAAAGACAGTGTCCTTTGTCCTAAGCTTTAGTGATTTCATACAAGTGTTAATCAGGTAGTTCATCTGAAATCAGTTTCCACTGTCACGATTATGTCTGTTGAATAGAGATTTACTTCATGTGTCGTTGTGTTCAGTTTTAGAAATTAGAGTTGTTCTCTGAATGCCTGCTGATGACTCTTCATATCATGTCCTTCACTGGATGCTCTTCCACTTGTCAAACACAAGCTTAGCAGCGACTGCATCTTGTATCCCCATTCCTGCATTGCAAAAGAGAAACCATAATTAATCCATTTCAGTTTACACCCAGCAGCTGATGTTTATTTCAACACTTGACTCATAGTTTTTGCCAATCATTTATAAGCATGTATGAGCAACAAGCAGAAACAGATCTTACCAAATATACTTCAGTATGCTTAATTTCTAATGGAATCGTAAAACTGAATCATCACTAGCTGTAAACAGTTAAGCTTTAAATAAAGCCTTAAAGTCCCCTTATTGTCTCAGGGGAAACAAAACAGTAATTAAAGCTGCAAGCAGCACTTTCGGGGGCCAAGCACCCAGACTCGGTGAGCCGCACATTCACAGACGTGCTACAATTGTTGCCTAAGCAATCACAGGAAAGCAGAGCCATAACTTTAGGCAAAGGGATTCAAGAGTGATTTGTAGTTTCTCTCATGATGTGTAAGTTTTGACGATGGACAGTGGTGGAATTCTCTGACTGTAGGAGGAAAGGTCTAGATGAATTGCTGCTGCACTGCTGCTGCAGCTGCCACTACTGCTGCGACCTGTGGTGTTGTCTGCTGCTACTTTGATCGTTGGTCGTGATTGCTACTGCTCTGACCTGAAAATTTTTTTCCTCTTGCAATTTAAAAACATCTAAGGTATTTATGTTTTTTCTCATCAGTCTGGGTCTTTTTTTTCCCCCCACTTTGTGCAAGTATCTGCACCAAACTTATATATGTCTTATATTGTGGTTTTTTTTTTTAAATTGAAAATTGCTCAATAAAAATGCTTGATTTGATATTAAACCCTGTCAGGCATGTGTTGTCTGTTTAATATTACATTTAACAGCTACAATGGCAGTATACAGCTGTTTACACAGGTCTCAAGATGATGTGAGCCACATTTGGTGAAGACTGGACGAAATTTGGAGGAGGAGTAGCAATAACGTGCGGTTGTCCCATATAGTCTAGCGGCCAGGATTCCTGGTTTTTCACCCAGTATGACTCGACTCCCAGTATGAGAACATGGCTTTACTCAGAGACTGGACTGAAAACACAC